CTAAAAAGTCAGTACTGTAGGCATCAGGGGACTAGTCTGTGAAGAAATCCCCCTTTTCTGTCTGCCTCTCTGCTCTGAGTCTGCCCAGCCCCCTGTTTCAAACTCTGGCTGCTGGATTCACCTGGTGCAGCTAGGTGACTGGGTTGTGAAAATTCCATAGGGAGGAGAGAGCTCATTCTTCCTTTGTCCTGAGTTTCCTGCCGGACAACCCATGTGACCCTGGTCACTCCACCTGAGGATGCTGACGACTTTTAAGAGGATTGGTCTGCATCATGTTGTCCCTGTTTCTGGTTGGAACTTAGTGATGAGGTCATGAAGGTTTTAAAAGGGGTCACTCCACATTAGGGGAAGTCAGTCATCTTTGGGACCCTGAAACTAGCAAGAAGCCTCCAGATCTCCATAGGCCTCTGGATGAACATGTGAGTAACTTACCTGAAATTTTAAAGCCCCCTTCACTCGGCAGGCTAAGGTGGGTGTGGCTTTTTACTTTCCTCCTGTACAAGAGACTACTTGTGAATGCTTCAGGCTAAAAGAAGCACCCCACAATACCATGGTGGGCTAAGTACACCCCAAGGTCAACAGGATCTGTGTACCTCAGGCTGCACAGAGCCCTAACAGAGACCAGGGTCCAGGAGACGGCAGCAGTTACCCCAGGCTTGCAGGTGTGCTCCAGAAAGGGGGTTGGCCAGACATAGTTGCCCTAGGGGAGACAGGTGAAGCGTGATTTTTGGTCAGGTACAGGGAGGCAGGTGGCTCTGCATAGTAGTGCTCCCCCGCCCCCCCCGCCACCGTCCCACCACATACTTATATGCTGGAATTTCATTAAAATCAACAACAGTAGCAGGGGTAACTGGAGGCATACTCCCCCTACCCATCTTCTTCCCAGATGTCTTGAACTTCTGCTAGCTAGGGAACTACCCAAACTGAGGCAGCAGATGGGCAATTTTGCAGGCCAAACATGCCATGAGCAATTTTGCAGGCCACCATTTTTGTGGGCTTATTGTGGTGCTCCCCCCATGCTTCGGATTGACTGAGAGGTCCCAGCAGCCCAGTCCCTCATTGCTGATTGATCGAGGGGGACGAGGACACAACACAGGCAGCCCTCTTGGCCAATCATCGGCGGAGGGCCAAGGGGGCGGCCGTCATCTGGGCTGCTTCCCTTCATGCAAGTGGCTAGAATTATTCCTACACACCACTATCTTATTCTCATTGCCAATTGTGTCTACCTCTGGCGTTCTTGTCTTGGAGAGATCACACAAAGAAGAACTAAGGAACTATCATTATCACAACTACTAAACTTCATAAGAGCCTTGTTACACAGTAATTTTGGGCAGCTTCTGGAGCTCTTAACCCCTGGATTGCCCAAACATTAACACCTTAAAGTGGCTTAAAGCAGTGTTTCCCAACCTTTTCCAGCCTAAGGCACTCTTACACTAATATTTTTTTTCTGCAGCACATCTGTTAAGGCATTCTTCCTCCTCATACCTATTGTACCTCATTGTAGCTCATTGCCATGGCAAAATTCCACAGCACACCTGATCATTTCTGATGGCACACTTTTGTGCTGCAGCACACTGGTTGGGAAACACTGGCTTAAAGCACTCATGATGCAGCTCAAAGTTATGCCATTCCATGGCAGGATTATCTCTGATCCAAACTACCCAACTCCTGTTCCATTAAGGTGTGGCCACTCCCTACATATGGGCCACTCAAATTGCAGTTCTCTAGTATTGCAGGGTGTTGTGGCCTCTCCCCTACCCCCTGTTCTGTGTGGACAAACTTTTCATGCACCACTCCTGGTCCAGCCCCTGCTCTACAGGCCTCTAAAGGCTGTGCTGGCTAGGGACAGTCAGAGAAGGTTTCTAAACTAAGGGTGTGATTGCTCCAAACTCCAAGCTAACATGAAGCTGATGAACATTGTACACCTCACAGAGTAAAGTGTAACTAGGCCCTAATTCTATATAGGTAAGGCAGAACAACAAACAAGAGCACAAGAATAATGCAATTTGGGAAGCACCCTCTGACAGAGAGTATAAAATACATACAGAAATTCAATACACAACTACATGTGCACACACGCACACAGACATACTTTGGTTTGTCTATAAGGTGCGAATCTACCCTGCCTTCTTTTTTACTTCCAAATAACAGAACTTCTCTCCACTCAAGATGTGCAAGGTTGGGCAACTTTCTGTGGGGAGAGGCCAAAGCCTGCCCCCCCCACTTCCCTGATAAGCAGTCACATCAAAGTGAGAGTTGAAGAGTTGGAGCCTGAGCCCCTTCCCTCCACCCTTGACATTGAGGGCTAGATACTGTCTACAGAAAGGTTGGCATCCTAGGATTCCAGCCCTTTTGACCAAGGGGTGAGTGTGCCCCTGCCTTTCTCAAGGTCACTTTGAGTGGGCCCTTATCCAGAGGTGTCCCACAGTTTGGATAAAAACCAGCCCTTTTACAATCCCTAACCCCTGGTTACAAGGCACTCCCAGTTCTTGCCACCCCCAATAATTAAGCTGTCTTTCTGAGTTCAATCAAGAAAGCACTAAGAGTTCTGACTGTTTACATTATTTTAAAAAGTTTTTAATTTGCTTACATAGACTAGAATTTTTGTCTCCAAAACTGCAAGATCTGTTTGAGTGAATTGATGAGAATGTCCTTTGGCTATACTAGAACACAGGATTATGATGACTATAAGCAGTGCTGGCATATATTACGCAGCAGAGTAGCAATGCACATACATATAAACCTACTATATACACTTTATCGTCCCTATGGAAGTTTGAGAGTAAGGATCTCTGCATCATGTTCCAGTCGGAAATCTTCTAGCTTGTTTCATACAAGGGGAGCAAAGCCCTCTCGTGATTTCGTTGCTGGGGATTTCTCCCACATTTCCCCACTCTATAGAGCCAGAAGCAAAGACTGGCATTGGAGGCATGAAATGTAACATTGGGATGGTGAGGGAAGCAGTCAGGGTTTGCTACACTCCACCTACTCCAATTGGAACACAGTTACTTGAGCACTGTCACCCTCTGACACAAATTAGAGCAATCCCAGATTAGTCTAACCTCCACTGGAGGTGAAGCTAGCTTTGGTTTTGGAACCAGTGAAGCCTTTCAGCTGTGCAGAGAATTGGCCCTGGAGAGCTGTCTTGTACAGTGTTTGCTTCTATTTCATGCACATGAAATAGCTGGGTATAAATGTAGTTATCCTTATTTCTGCAGTGGTCAGAACCCCCAGTAAGGAGGGGAACCAGGGGAAGTGCAAGAGGGTGTAGGCTAAGATCCAAAAAGATGATTGAAGTGCCTAGAATGGTACATACATGGAGTTGGGGTACTGAAAGTATGGACAGATATGCTTCTGAAGAGCTCCACATGCTATTTCAATTTGAAGTGCTTAAGACATGCTGGAGGTGATTAGGGATCTACCTGGATACCGCTGTAGTGATCATCAGGTTTAGTAAATGCAGGCATATGAATGAGAAGAAAGCACACCCTAATTTGTGAAGCAATCTGACAATATGCAAGAAGACCGAGGATTTCACATTATCATTTTTCTCTTCTGCCTCTGACTGCTAAGTACTGCTCAAACTTCTATCTGAATCCCTCTTGTTCTCTGCTATATTGCCCAACAGCAGAAGGGCAGGTAGAGGTTAACAATTTCCATGCCTAACTTGTCTTTTGACTTAGGGTATAAGCAGATGTCACTAAATGATGTGGATCATGTGTGGCAGGATGTGTCCTGCCACAGCCGATCCTTTTCATTGGGCAAAACACATCTCCCATTGTCCTCCATTGGGCAGGGGCTCAATCATGCAGGACAATGGGTGATGTGGTCTACATTTATATTTACAAATATGTACCTTGGAGATTCCCTGGGGTCCATGTCTGTAAGAGAGGAAAGCTGGGGTTTCCTGCTTGCAGAGATGCTCCCTAGGCAGTTTCTGGAGCATGCATCCATAAACAGGGAATCCCAGCTTTTGCCACTTACAGAGACCTGTCTCAGAAATTCCCCAGAATGCATCTCTAAGTGGGGAGCCCCAGCTTTCTCTACTTAAAGAGTCATGCCCCAGGTGCATCTCTGCAAGTAGGTAAATCCAAGGTCTCCCACTTACAGACATGTGCCTTGGATATTGCCTAGGACAGTGGTGCTTAACCCTTTTACTACCAGGACCAATTTGTAAACATCAAAGGCCAGTCCTGACTCAGCCCCCCTCAGTCCCCATGTGTGGGGCGCATGGGGGGCCCCCAGCAGCCCCTCTCAGGCTGGAACTCCATCAGCCTGCAAGGGAAAAGCCACAGTTTCCAACGTTTGTTTCCTTTAAAGGAGAATCCATTTTTAAAGTTTGTTGATTCATTTTTTAAATATGTTCTCAACCCTTTCATATATTCTTGAAACCCACTGTTGGGTCATGACCCACAGGTTGAGAAACACTGGCCTAGGGCACATATCTGCAAAAGGGGAATGCCAGACACATGCTCCAGGAGGCATATGGGTGCATGGGTGCTTGTGCAACTGACTGTGTCTGTTTTTCTAAAATACCAGAAAAGGCTTCTGCTGGGACACCTGTGACTATTTGGAATTGTTCTTTGAATATTTCTCAGTTTTCAAACTAATAAAAGATAGCTGCATTTCTGGCAGAAGCCACAAGACTTATGTTTCTCTCAGGAATAGAAGTCTTTTCCTCTGCAAGACTTGTAGGGAAGAATTTTCACACTTAGTCTTATGGATAAGAATCTAAAATTTGACCTGTTAACCAAATATAGCTTGGCAGATTTTCTTCTTACTTAGGCCACAACATTTGTATTTTGAAAAACACCTGTATAAAAGGTTTGATCTTACTCAGTAGATATACTTCCTTTATTCAGTCTGCTGCCTTCAGCGACATGAGTACATACTACAAAATTATAATCACTTTAACCCAGCAATGTTGAACCAGCTCAGATTGAGTGGAAACTTTATTTACAGGGAGTCCCTTTTCACAGTCAGCCTACCCTGTGTTTAAATCAGAGGGCTTCAGAGTTCTGCAGAAAGGACTTACTCCTTTTTAAAAAGTCTCTGAAGGCCTCTTTGAATTTCTCATTCCTGAGAGTCCAAATGAAGGGGTTCAGGAAGGGTGTCACAACAAATGTAATCAGGGCCACAACTTTGTTGACACCTGAGGCCTGGCTCTTATCAGGCCTCACATAGATGAAGATGGTGCTACCATATCCAATCGCTACAAGACTAATATGGGAGGCACATGTGGAGAAAGCCTTCTGACGCCTGTCAGAGGAGGAAATCTTCAAGACAGCAATGATTATGAAGAAATAGGACAAAATGATCAGAAGCAAAGTGGTTACAACAAAAAACAAAGAGAGGAAGAAGTCAGTGACCTCAATGTGCCGTGTTTCTGAGCACAACAACTTCAGCAGTGGTGCACTGTCACAGAAGAAATGATTGATGACTTTTGCCTGCAGAAATTCAAATGAGTTTTCTGAACAGTTGGGGAAATGATGGAAAGGAACCCAGTCATCCAAGAGCCCACAATAAGCCAGCTGCAAACACGGTTGCTCATGATGGTGGCATAGCGTAGAGGCAGGCAGATTGCCACATAACGGTCGAGTGCCACAGCAGTAAGAATGAGGAACTCTGTAGACCCCAGAGAGAAGTACAAGTAGGACTGGGTGAGGCAGCCAGCAAGAGAGATGGTATTGTGGGCGGAGACCAGATCAACCAGCATCCTGGGGACCACAGTGGAGGTGACCAGGATCTCCACCATGGAGAAATTACAGAGGAAAAAGTACATGGGTGTGTGGAGGCGAGAGTCAGACCATGACACAGCAATGATAACCATGTTTCCCGTCAGTGTCAGCAGGTAGGTGGCAAAGAAGAAGATGAAAACACCAGTACAATACTCACAGAGGCTTGGGAACCCCAGGAGAATTAATTCCCTCATGACTGTGTGATTTGCAATCCTGTGTGTATCCACTTCAGCCATTACCTGTGGGCAAAGAAGGAAAAGAAGAAAAGAAGGTGAATAGGAAGGATACCTGTGTAACAGCAGTCACCTGCTCAGCTGTTAATTGGCCCTTTTGGCACCTCCCCGCTGTTTTCTTTCACCCCTCACTCTCAGATTATATTGAAATGAATAGTGGGAGGCAGATGTCTTACCAATGGGTCAAAATGAGAGAAGTTTTCAAGGTCCTCCTTCCCTACCCCTGGCCTGTCACCGCCGATTGATGTTCTCTGGGCAACAAGCTCTAGCTTGGATGCTTCTCCTAGCCTCCCTCTGTATGTGGACCTCTTTTGGTCCTTTTTTTTTATATAGACAATGGATTAGGCTTGAAACCCCTTGCTGTCCCCTTCCCAGGGGCAATGTATGTTGAACCACTCTCCTTTTGAGGAGGACCAAAACTCCACTTCTCCTATGAGGGCTGGCCCCATCTGTGCACGCCTGCAGCACATGCTGCTTAACTCCTTTGGTGTCAGGCCAGCCTTTTTTCCAGACATGGAGGTTCTTGATGGTTGCCTTTCCCGACTGGATTCAGCTCAGGGAGTGAGCATAGCAGGGTATGAACTTGGCTCCATGCTACAACCTGTCACGAGGCAACACTGACTGTGCAAGGGAAATTATGACATCCTGCAAGGAAATAGAGACCGTGGCAGTTGTCTACAAAAAGCTGCTCCTGGGTTTTGCTCTTCCTGGTCAGGCACGAATCAGGAATTTTCCTGCATGCATACTGAGGGCCAGCCAGTTAAGCAATGATAAATGTGTGTTACACAGAGGATCATTGGTTTTTCTCTCACACAGGGTGACTTTATTGTAGTACTAGTAGTAGCAGCAAGAGCAGCAGTACCATCACTGTCAATATTTATTTACACCGATTGTCTAAATGAGAATAGGATTTTTACAGCAAGCAGCAAAAATAAAAACGGGGTATTACCATGCCAGGATAATTCCTATTCTTAGTCTCCTGCAAAGACACAACCATTTTCCTGAGGAGTTTGCCTTTAATTGCAATATGCCACACTGCAAGTCCAAGGGATTTGCACCACAAAGTATATCATTTATTAGTTTACAGGTTTGGGAAGAGTACCTTGCATGTAACATGGAATATGACAGAAGAGCAAAAGGCAGAATGATTTAAGAAGGAAATAAAGGGCTCTGGGTCTACTGTCAATACTGGAGGCTAGCTGAATTCAAACAGGGAAATTTTGAACTATACTAATGTATGCAATATTTTTTTGGTTGGTGTCCTGTTTAATTAGAAAGTAAACAGGAGCATAGCTGAGGCTGAAATTGACTGTTTTGTGGACAGGAAACATCATAATTTCAGTTTGCTTACGTTATGTTTTGGAGTACACCTAAGTCCTCATTGTCAAAAACATGTGTTAGAACCAGGTAGGGAAGGAATGGTGTAAAACCAAATTAGAAGGGTTTTGTTCTACTCTACAGCATCAAGCCCAAAGGGGGATCCAATCCTGATTTGTAGATTAAGGTAATGATAGCAACACTGTTTCAGAGGTTTATTTCACTCATAGGTTTACCACCAAGTACCACAAATATAAGTCATATTTAATACAAGCCAAGGGCAAGTTGTCAGTGAACTTAGACTGAGCATTATGTCGTGGAAACACACGCAGCATACTTTTGGGTCAGGTCAGCAGAAGCTTTTATTCAAAAGAAACTACAGCTGTAGGGGGGATTCCAAAGTGACATGGATTTCCCAAGCACTTGGAAGGGGTCCCCCCCCAAGAGCAAAATCAGGAGGCTTATATACTTTTTAACAGTTGCTTACAACTCACGTGATCATATAGTGAAATTAGCATGAAAAGCGGCTATAACATTACTTCATTATTTCTTTGCTGTAATCAGGATGGGAACTAATGGGGGAGGCGAGGTTAGTTCACAAACCTCCTTCTTGCACCTGCAAATCACAGTTGTACATACTTTTTGCTATCTTCAAGGCCGCGGTGAGCGAAGCAGTTGCAGAGGAGTTACAAAGAACAAACACTTTCTCTTATCTGTTCTACTATACAGAGCCAGCAATTCTTCACAAAGCAGTTATGTCATCTTATAACTAAAATAGTTAAAGTTTAAGGCATATATTTTTTCTGATTCCACAGTTCCCCCCCCCTTTGAGACTATTTAGTCTCACTTTACCCTTAAATTTTTATTCTCATGAGCCCCTCTATTTCATCATGCAGCCTTTCATGTTTTCTTTTAATCTGCTCACACTGTTCATTAGAACAAAGCTCAGTTCCATTGTGGCCGGAAACCACATAAAGCTATTTAAAACCTAAACTAGTTCCTGTGGTTTAGGATTTAAAGCAAGGTGCAAGCACAGTTAAGCAATGGATTTGCAAACTGAGTCTCTTTTTCCCATTATTTGATCATTGTTAGTAGACAGAGAGTATCAAACGAGCCTTTGGACTGCAGGTTTAAATTTATTCACCATCTACTACACAACTGTAATATAATATAACACAGCATAATGCAAATCATGTAGAGCAATGTAGTACTGAACATGAAAGCATTTCAACATATACATAAAAATGCATAAACATAAAAATAATAAATACCATGTATGCAGGACTTGCTCCAAAAAGAACAGGAGACTTGAACACATTTAGTTACATCTCCTCCGAAATTTTGTGATAATCTCCTACTATTAACTGGTAAATTTAATTCTTTTATGCTATTACATGATCTGAAATGTATGAGGTGTTATACAGAAGTATACAGGAGACAGATCAAACCATCAGCTATTCATGAAAAGTAGACCTGCTTCTGAAGTCCTGGAAGACTACTAAGTGTTATTGTAAATGCTGGGTGCATCAATTAAAGCAATTGATTAACTTGGAGTCACAATGATTTTAATCCCAATTTCAAAAGTGACTTAGGGCATTTCTCAACAGCAGGAGGAATATGTCACTCTGGAAGGGGCAGGCATACCTACACTAGCTTCCATCTATCTAGCACTGAGTAACAGCAGCACTGAAAATGAAGTCATACTGTTTTCAGCATGGGCTGTCATAGTCCTGGGTACCTTGGGTAGGCAGTGTGTTTTAGCCTAGCTGGTGCCCACACAGCTAAATCTTTGCTTCTAATGTTACCCACATTAAAACTAGCTTGGGAATAGGCACTGTGCTACAATCAGATCTTCCTTGTACAATTTTTCAAATTATATATGAGAGGCAAGGATTTCTTAGGGTGGTGATATCTTTTACTGAACCAACTATGTAGTTAGTTGAATAAAAGATATCGCCCTAAGAAATCCTTGCTTCTGACATAATTTCTGAACTATCACAGCTACAACATCACTCTTACACTACCAAATTATTTAGGCACCTAAGTACTTTTGAAAACCCCACTAGGCACCCACCTGCATTGTTCAGCATCTACATTTCTTTATTAATTGGACTCCCAACCTACAGGTCAGGATGTTAATATAGGGCCAGTTTCCACTGTAAAATCCATGGTATTTAGATCTGGATATAAGAGTGTGATATAAGACTCCTGTAAGTTAAACACTTGGGCACAACGCAGTTAACCTGAACATCACCCCCGCATATTCAGTTTAAAAAAAGAATAAGTTACATGCATAACAAAGCCATTCACATTCTTATTAGGTAGGACTAAAATAAAATAAATAGGAAGGACAAAGAAGTTGTATACTTCAGGACATAAACAAACAGGGTTTCACGAAAAAAAAAATACTGTGTGGACAGTTTATTCCATAATTGTCTACTCTGTGAAGGGGAGCTGCTGCCACTCCCCACACTTACACATATATCAGCAGTCACTTTCAGAGACAGGGAATGAGGTTAGCAGGGCCATTACTCTGGCCCAGTATGTCAATTCCTATATTCCTATGAACAATATACACCTCACTTCCACACTGGTCACGCTGTATAAAACTAGTTAAAACAGAATTTCTGTTGCTTTATAAACAGAAGATCATACTAAACTTTGGATCTGCTCAGCCTGGAGGTCAGACTCAAGAACTCTGATCAGTAAGAAGGATTAAGGTATTGCTGACAAAGGGAATTCAAACAAATTATGTGGGTCCCCCACCCTGAGTTCTGGCCAAAGCATTGATACCCGTCATCTTTTCACCATATTTACATGCGATAAAAAACCACCCAGCCACTGCCCTTCCAAAATGGGGTGGCATAGAGAGGAGAAGGAGTCCTTACTCTTGATTGCATTCCTTGAAATCACCAGTATTGTGAGAGAAGCCCATTCTAACCACCAAACCTCTAGTTCCCATGCAATCTAAGCTATCACTGACCTGTCTGCATTGAGAATAGCTCATGGTGTCTGACATACACGCACATTCAAAATAATGTTTGTTGCTTCTACCTGTGACTATATCAATATATCTGAAGCAGTTGCCATGGGACTCCTAATCACACAAGGACAAAGATATTCTCAAGGGCTGTGAGCTTGAAGCCAGCAGCAAAACAAACTCAAACCTGGGACTCTTATGCTGGTCCAGCGTTACAATTGCATCAGCCCAACCCTTCCAATCTATCAGAAACAGTCCTCATGAGGTTGTCAGGGCTAGTGACAAACTTATGAGTATTTTTTTTCCCCTGCTAGAAAGAGTTCTGTTTTTTACAATGCAATCACTTGGGGCTAGTACAACTCGAATGGTTTTAAAGAAACCTATGTTCTTCCCATACTGCTGGCAATGTAATTCTCTATTTTTTCCTAGTAAGACTATGGGGGAGATTGAGGGGATAACATGTAACAGTGATAGTGAAAGACGCCAGCCCCACAATCAACACAAAGTGAAATCTTGTATTAACCTCCATCACAGCATGTGCGTGGACAGTGAGAATGTCCCATTCATCATTAGACACTCACCAGTGCAGAAAGAAATAGTCTCAGGGGAACTGGCCCTGAACTTTTTAGGGCTACCTAGATTGAAGGGGAAAAACTAAACTACA